GAGTGTGGGTACAACCGCGGACCACCGGCAACAGCCAAGGACATAGCTACAGCTGGACGCGCCGCAATGTCAGTGTGCATCAAAACACCCGTATGCCTGGCAACAACCGTGTAGGCACAGCTACAGATGTAGCAACAGCCACAGAGGTAGGAACAACGTGAGAGCAACAACCACACATGTAGGAACAACCTGAGAGCAACAACCACACAGGTAGCAACAACCTGAAAGGAACAGCTACACAGGTAGCAACAACTGCAGATGTAGCAGCAACCTGGAACACAACCACACACGTAGCAACAACTGCACATGTAGCAACAACTTGAACACAACAGTCGCACAAGTAGCAACAATCTGAAAGAAACCACCACACACTTAGCAACAGTTGCACATGTAGCAGCAACCTGAAAGCAACAGCTGCACATGGAGCAACAGCTGCACAGACAGCAACAACCACACACTTAGCAACAACCTGAAAGCAACAGCCGCCTATGGGGCAACAACCTGAGAGCAACAGCCACATATGACATGCAGCAACAACCTGAAAGCAACAGCGGCAAACAGCAACAACCGCACAGGTAGCAACAACCAGACACATAGCAGCAACCTGAAAGCAACAGTCACCCACGTAGCAACCATCGTCCACGCAGCAACACCCGTATTTGCCCATAGCCATGGCAGGAAGACACACCCCCAGCAACAACCGTAGCTACAGCCGTCCATTCCCCACCGCTCCCACCGTTTCACCGCACACCCCCGCTGCTTCCAGGCACACCCCACCCCACCACAACCCCCTCCAACCCCCACGCGGACACCGAGACCCAACCCAACGCCAACACCCCATCCCGGTACACCCCAACAGGCAACAGCTCTCCAAGTACAGCTGTGCCACCTCCATCCCCGCCTTGGTTCTCCACCCAACCCACCATGCCCAAGTAGGGTCTGAACAGCAGGCACGGGTGAAGGGGTGGGGGTCCCTCGGCTCCCCTCCCATCCCCCTCCCCGCAGGACCCCCGTGGCCTCGGGGACATCGCCGGGGACGAGGAGGTGGTTCCTCACCACGATGAGGTTCCACATCCGGGCGGCCTCGGCCACCAGCGTGGAGACGCTGCTACAACCGGGCATGAGGATGATCTTGATGGGGTCGTTGTAGAGAAGCTCGTAGAGGTACTTGGTGGCCTGGCCGGGGTCACACTGTGGGGGGGGGACGACACACAAGGGGGTTGGGGACAAGGGGAGCGGCTGCTGGGACACCCACCTTCTCCCAGTATAACCCACTGGTTGCCCCCCAGCTCCATCCCAAAGACTCTTCAAGGGGGACCCAGGCGTCCGGGCATCCGTGGTTTGATCCATCAGCTTAGAGGACCCAGGTGTCCGGGAAATAGGGGGGGGGGGGGGGCCGCCCCGGGCCCCCCCCCCAGCCATGCCCTGTTCTTTCTTTGGGGTCTATGAATAATTCAGGGCACGAATGGTCCGGAAAAGGAGCCAGGCACCGTTGCCATGACAACCCAGTGGCAGACCCAGCAGCATCCGCTGCCGTGGCAACCAGGCAGTACCAGTAAAGGGGGGGGGGGGTCCCCCCCCCCCCCCCCCCCCCCAGCCATGCCCTGTTCTTTCTTTGGGGTCTATGAATAATTCAGGGCACGAATGGTCCGG